TGGGCTCAAGCGAGTCTCCTGCCTCAGCCTCCCAAGTAGCTGGGACCACAGGCGCCCACCACAACACCTGGCTATTTTTTGGTTCCAGGTCTGGGCTGGATTCGAACCCACCACCTTAGGTGTATGTGGCTGGCTCCTTAGCCACTTGAGCCACAGGTGCCGTGCCACAACTGTGATTTTTCATAGAACATGACAAGAGAGGGGAGGACAGACGGAGAACTAATGTGGTTAAATGCTGACTTTGTGCAAACCACCATGTCAAGGGCTACTTATTACGTCTTTCAGGCCTCACAAACGCTAGATGAGGTGGTTATTGTTATTATTTTTATTTAACACCATTTTGTGTAGAAGGACTTGAGGCTCAGAGAATTTGACAATGTGGCCCCCAATCACAAGCCGACAGGTGGTAGATGTGCAATTCACTTTCGGGGTGACTCCAGGGTCCCCCCCCTCTGATGTACAGAACTGGCTTCTTCTGGGTATGCTGGTCACTCAAGTCCTTCTTCCAAGGAAACAGCAGGAGTGACTGGAGCTGCCACCTGGTCACCCTGCCTGATGACTAGGTTTTGTTTTTTTTTTTTTGAGACAGAGTCTCACTATGTCACCCTTGGTAGAGTGCTTTTTTTTTTTTAAACAAATCCTGCCTCAGGTTCATTTGTACAAGTAGCACAGGAGGACCCCAGCCCCATATAGACAGCAGCCTAGAGGTCACACCAGTCCTTTTGTCCTCATGGCAGACAGATGCCTCTACTCTGGAGCCTTTGTGGGGGACTGGGCACCTTTGGGAGCCTGAGCTGGAACTGCAGCTGGAGCTGCAGATGAAGAAGCAGATTGGGCCTTTGTTTGATCCTTGGCCTTGGCCTTTGGCCGGCAGAGCCTGAGACCCTTGGCAATGCGTTCATGAGCACGCAATGTAGGCAAGTCGACTGAGTTTACGGCTGGCACCCTTTGGAATCTTGGTCTTAACTTCCTTGGGCTTTACAAGGGCCTTGATAGCTTCAGCACGTGCACTCACAGCTTGGCATTGTTGGCCTGCATCTTCTTCAGGCCCTTCTTGCTGTGCTTCTTGGCAAAGCGCATGTTCCTCAGGAACCTGGGATCTACCCCCTTAAGAGATTCATATCTTTGAGAGCGGGGTTTCTTGATGCCATTTCTGTGCCACTTTCGGGACTGGTTGTGTGTGGTGTGGTTCTTGGACTTGGCCATGTCTGCATCACCACCTGCGACTGGTAGAGTGCTTTGGCATCACAGCTCACAGCAACCTTAAACTCTTGGGTTTAAGCGATTCTCTTGCCTTATCTTCCTGAGTAGCTAGGACTATAGGTACCTGCCACAACACCTGGCTATTTTTTTGGTTGCAGTTGTCATTGTTTAGCAGGCCTGGGCTGGGCTTGAACCTGCCAGCCTCGGTGTATGTGGCCGGTGCCCTACTCACTGAGCTACAGGCACCGAGCTGATGACTAAGTTTTTTTTTTTTTTTTTTGAGACAGAGCCTCAAGCTGTCCCCCTGGGCAGAATGCCATGGCATTACAGCTCACAGCAACCTCCAACTCCT